TCAGGGTGGACATCACCATGGAATTGATATGGCTCACCCTGTCCTAGCTTTGAACATGACCATAGTGTCTATAGCTGTTAAAGAAGGGTATGGTGGTCATCCAAGTTGTAAATACTGCTCATCAGATCTTGCTTATCTATATTTATCCTCAGAGATCAAGCAATTCCCATTTTTCTTGTTAGTCATGAATCTATCTCAACATTACATTGCAGATTTCATTTGCTTCCCTAGTGCTTTATGCTGATGAATAACTAGTTGGGGCCAAAAGTGAACTCCAGTATTGTTAGGAAGAAGCACTCTATCTTCAAACTCCTTGACTGTTAATTGATTCATCACATGGCAACTTGAATTCTTCTCTTTGATCGATTGATTCTTTCGTTAGATGGCAACTTAATATTTTCCTTCTTGGAACAATTGTGTCTGGTTATGACAATAAATAAAGGTATGCTTACTCTTCATTTTTCTGATCAATGTTTTATATGAATGTTTCTGTATTGAAGGTTATACTGGATTACCAAGAGGGCTGGGGAAAGGGCTAACAGCAGGCTAATGAAAGCCAATGCTTGGCATCATCGTGCAGATGCTGTTTCATCAGTAGTTGCTCTTATAGGGGTTGGTAATTTCCATTCCCCTCTGTTTCTGTTTGTTTTCTTCTCAATCGTTTTCCTTTTCCCTTCAACTCCTCTTCTCAACCATCTAACATGTTTGCATGATCTGTTTTATGACTATGGATTACCCTTTGAGATCAGGAGGGTCCATACTTGGAGTGAGGTTCCTTGATCCTTTGGCAGGACTAGTTGTCTCTGGCATGATCCTAAAAGCTGGACTTGAAACTGGTTATGAAAGGTGACCTTGCATATTTAATCTTTTGGTCAAATGATTGATGCTACTAATGGCAACAATGTGAGATTGCATTGATATAGGTTGCAAATCTGATGCTTCATTGTTGAAAAACACAATCTGAATATCTGTACCTTTTCATTTTACCCAACTGACTTGCGAATCATTGAAAGTTTGATTTTCGAAACTACTATGTGGTTTCTCCTAGAAAGCCATTAACATTGTGTTTCAAAGCCATTAAGACTTTTTTCCTCTCAAAGATGGAATGTGTTGATATGTAGATCTTTAGTGTGGACAAAGGCCCAAAAGCCTATACAAAGTGTGCATTGAAGCTCTAAGGAACTCTAAAGATCCATTCCTTATCCTGATATATGCTCATAGCATATGAGCTGAGCTTGGAACATAGATCCATACTATTTGTATTAACTAAACAAAAAGGGTGTATCAACTAAACAAAAAGAGCACATTGGAAACAAATTTGCTAAATCATCAACATCCTCCAAAAGTATTGCCAATCTGATATCTTGAGACCTTCCTGCCCTGATTTGGGTGGGAAGCTGTTTGTTGCTTGTTAAAAAATCTGTATTTGTCTGTATTTGTTAAAAAATCAACATCCTCCAAAAATCTGTATATGTCTCCATTATCATTTTGAAGCTATAATCAGTGCTAGTCTGACTGCTGCATCTTCAAATACCCATGCTCTGTTACAAGATAATTTGTTGTTTGAGTAACTGATTTCCGAAACCCATCCAGCAAAAGAAATCCTTGTCAAAAAATAGTTTTTCGATATACTTCTCTTTATAAGATATTGTAGGTGATGAGGTTTTGAACTTTTGAAGGCCAAATTCTATTGACTTATTTGGATTACTCCACCTTAACACATTATATTTCTTACTGTTGTAAATCTGTTGTGCTCCTGAATTTTCTTTCAGTGTCTTGGAACTGGTAGATGCTGCTATACCATCACAACTAATGGAACCTTATAGAAATGCAATTCTGCAGGTTGAAGGAGTTAAGGTATGTCAATCAGAATAACCATGTAGAATGACATAAGTCTAATATGGTTGATTTAGATGTGCTATTACGTTTATTTACTCCTGTTACTCGTGCAGCTTGTGGGGATTCCAATGTTTCTGTTATTTTGAGTGTACCCGGTTATCTTGTAGGTTTTATTGGTTTTGTTATTTGGTGGAAAGATTATGTTGATTGTGTGAGCAAATCTAAAGATAATAATTGCTCATGCAGAGCTGGTGTAAACAAACTTTGCTTTTCTGTTGAATGTATTTTCTGGTTAAAAGCCATTTTTGCAGGTTGTGCATTATTTGTTCTTAAAACACAACCTCTGCATTTTTGTTTCTCGCAGCACCACCTCTTTGTCAGAAGACCACATTTTCCTGACAGAAGGTTGGTCCAAGGAACAAAAGACTGATTTTGTCTCTGCATGTCTTGGCATGATTGTGCATATGCTTCAGTTTTGCAACGTGTGTTTAATCCTTTTGTCTTACTGGAATTTGGTTAAGTTTTTAAACATGTCTAGTAGTATTCTACCTTCATTTTGCTCTAAAAAGTTTAGTTGAGAATTTTATGGGGAGTACTATGTGATCTTTCTGCTCCTTTTTGTACTCTGGTGCCAAATTGGTCCTAGTTTTAAATCCAATCATTTACCTCTCTTGTTGCATTTGCCATTTATTTTGGGATGAAACTACTTGATCAGTGGAAAGGAAGTACATTAGCATTTTAACTATCTGAAAACGACTAGAATAGAAAGATGCTTTCTTGGTTTCTATTCCTGAAATCAGATTCAACCCTTGCTACCTCATAGATGCTGTTTTACAATTTGATTCAGTATTGCTTTTAGTATTATCAATACTCAATTCAGTTTTTAATATGGATGCATAATTTTTTCCCACTGAAATCCGTAGGGATGCAACCATTTGAGAGGACGGAGGGCTGGTTCTTTTCTCTATCTTGATGTAAACGTGGAGGTACACTTCATATGATGTTCAATATATTAGATATATTTAAAGCTGTTCTGTTATGATCTGGTCATATTGTTCTCCACTTTTATCTAGACTAGATGTACATCTGACAAGTATCGTCTTTCAGGTTGATCCTTTTTCTAGTGTTAGTGCTGCACATGATGTTGGTGAAAATGTTCGTCGGAAAATACAGCAGTCCCATCCTGAAATAGCTGAAGTCTTCATCCATATAGGTGAACCACTTTTAAGTCTATCCGCCAAAAAGATTAAAAGGGAACAAAAAAAGTGCAATTGACTCTGATTATGGAATTGGAAGGTTAAAAGGCCCAGCTTTAACATCCTGTGTATCCAAGGATGTGCAAGACACATCTTGAAAACTAATTAAAATGATCAAAAGAGAAAGAATAGAATAATTTTTTACCTAGACACATGAAAACTTATGCTTGGTGCTTTCTTGGATATTATTGACACCTTTCAAAGAATGCTTGGTTTGGAGGCTGATCGTGATGTCTTAGCTGGTCATACTGCATAAATGTGGAAAACAATAGTGATGTTTCGAGTTTGGATGACCCTTTCTTCTGTACAACTCTCTTGGAATTTCTAATCCTTCTTTTAATAAGTGAAACACGTATGTCACACAAAATAAAATAGTGTATTGATTTGTTGTTTTCATACACAATACACCATTTTCTCTTGCTGATTAGCTGCGAGCTTGGGAACAAGCCTCCATGCTACCTCTTTTTAGGTTCATCATGTTGGGGCTTTGGTGATTCTAACGTGTTTGGCTGCCTCAGATGGGGCAAAGGATGCGTTATTGTCTCATAGGAACTGCAGCTTTTCATTGCGGACAATTGAATTGTGACTTTTCTTTCAATGGAAGTAACCCCCCCCCCCCCCGCCCACACACTCCCCCCAACCCAAAAAAAAAAAGAGATATCTGTCTATATTTTTCATTATGTATTAAGGTGTCTGCCTCTCATGTGACTTCTCATTCATATTCATCTTTTTGTCAGAGCCTTCAAGCTCCGGTATTCCACCAGTCCATAGTGCGACAGAGGAAGATGGTAAATCTAATGAAAATCCTAGCGTGTCTTTGGAATGCTCAGATGTTGAAGATATAGTGTCCAATATCTTGTCATCAAAGTTTGCAGAGGTATACATCTTCATTGTTTAATTCATATTACGGGCATGCTCTATGCGTTAAGGTTGTGGCATGTAGCTTGTAGTTGTTTACTGCTGAGTAGGAGTAAAGCCATCTATTGCTGATTTAGGAAAATTTTGACTCCAGAAGATAGGCGAAGATAGGATTTCATAAATTGGATTCATGTAGTTGTTGTTCCAGCGTTTCATTATATAACCTAGAAAAGGTTGATAAAAATTGCTACATATGGCATATACTTGCATTAGAGGACACAAAAAAGAAGGGTTCAAAACTCTTGGGTGCATCTCAACACATCTTATGGATTTTGGTTTCAGAAACTGACAGTTCAGCGGATAACTCGTCACATGTTGCAAGGGCGGATTTTGCTTCAGATTGAGGTTACTATGCCTCCTGATATGTTAATTAGGTAAAAACCTTTACTAACCTCACTGGCATCATTTGCTTCATTGACTATGATGCACCATATGGTATCAATTGCTTCTTTCCTCTGCCTAGTTACTCTTTTTCGTTGGTAACGGCCGTTTTATGACCAGGGATGCTGTCAAAGTTGCAGAAGAGGCAGAGAAAGTGATCTTCGAGGCTGTACCAAACAATGTTAGCATTTCTATGCAGCTACGACTTGCACATGCAACACCAAACTTGCATTATGAATGGAAAGAAAGCGACAATGGCAGTAGAGTCACATCTCCATAGTTCAATGCAGTTCTTTTCGACAGACATTTGGGGCTATTTTTGGTGCAAAGCCCTAAATGAATCTAAGTTGTCTAAAAGTAGTAGTATTAGAATACACGACACGATTTCTGATCCTAGATGACAGGAAGCATTGTTTTCAGGTTTGGACCGGATCGGTCGGTTGAATCGGTCAGACTAGGACCAGGTAGCCGGTTCAAGTCAGTATAAAAACTCGAAAATTAAAAAACCTGTAAAACCTGGTCAACACCCTGGTCTAACCAGTGAACCGGTGTAGTTGTGTTAAACCCGATTTTTCTCTTCTCCTTTTCCTTTTTTTTTTTTGCCTATTTTTTTTTTCTAAACTTTAGAACATAAGTCATTAACGTTCGGTCTTTCATTTGACCGATTAAAACAAACAAAAAGAGGAAAAAAGCTGGAAAAATTGCAAAGCGTGCCAAACGAAATATGTGATGTCTCTTGGGTTCTACTTTGTTGGTAACCCTAGCTCCTCCATCGTGAGTCCACCACCGCCGCTCCTAAAAGGTTGCAGTCGCCTCTCCTCTGGTAATTTTCAGACTTCAAGCTTCCATTGCCGCCACCTCCTTCGGAGTTCAGACTTAAAATTCAAAGTTTGGCAGCAGGTTGAATCTTTCTCAAAACTTTTATTAATTTGGCCCTTTTTGGTCATGCACTCACAACGTGTTGTAATATAAGACTAAGCTCTCGATTGTGTGATTAATGTATCTCAAAATATGCTGACCTTGCCGAACACAATTTTCAAGAATCGGTTTGGGCATATCTCTTAATTTATTGCCTGAAGAGGACAAGTTCAACTGATTTTCTGTGATGTACAAATGTTTGAAAACTTTACTTTCAAATAAATCACAGTGGAGAATTCGTGATGTACAATTTGTGATGTGAGAGGGATGATTGGATTGATGATGTTGCGTGAGCTTTGACTGGATTTCTCATGTGAACATTGATCAGGGCATACTTTTACCATCTTGTGGTGTTGATTGGCATGTTAATTGTACTCTTTCAAGTGTAATTATGAAGTTAAGAAGTCACTTCTGGCCCTTGTTTTGAATTATTTTAGTTGAACTCATGACTCTAAAATCAAAAAGTGTGCGATTGAAAAATTGATTAGAGATTACACTCTTGTTACTATTTGGAAAGGTTACTACCTCCACTCTTGTTAACCGTAACCAAATGTTTGAAAATTTTACTTTCAAAAGGCTTAAAATATTTATTAGATTTTTAAAAAAAATGTTAATTGTAACCATATGCAGCTTAAGAGAGTTAAATTTAGTTAAAGTTTCAAAGAAGCTCTTTGCCCTAATTTCTTGTTTTAACAATTGGTATGTAATTTGTGACAATATTCTAAAGCAATAAGTAAATTCGCATTACTAGTTCTTGGTTATATTTTGTATATTTAATTTGCAGGAAAAAATTGACACACACACACACACACACACACACATATATATATATATAACGTCATCCGCTCCAATCAAACCCTCGGTGCCTTGACTACAACACTACTAAATAATAATATGAAAATTTCTATCCGCTCCAATCAAACCCTCACCTCAATGGTTCAACAAACAAATTCCTTTCAAAACCTCCCCAAATAGTAAAGGGAAAAAAATTACAGCTAACCAATACACACATCGATATGCGTATCATACAGAGAAAGAGAGAGAGAGAGAGAGAGATTCAAAGGCTCAGAAGGATCCATTGGTTTGTTTAATCATACGGGAAATTTTTCCCTCAGAAAATAGGTAGTTCTCAACATCATAGCCTTCATTCATAATTACAAAAAAAAAAAAAAAAAAAAAAAGGAATAAGCACATGCACAGTACGGAGACAGTAATCTACCTTAAAATCGATGAACCAGCGGCGTCCGGATAGAGACCCTGACAAGGGAATGGAGGTTTCAAAGACTGAGGAGCTACCGAATAATACTCCATTTATAAGACGCCTGGCAACTAGGGCTAGGGTTTCTTTTAAGACTCTCACGAAGCTCTGAGTATTTTCGTGATTGCAGGGGCTCAGGCCCATGAGCCATGGGTCTTGACAGTCCTATCCTATGGCATACGATTCTATTGGTAAACCCGCAAAAGGTAACTCAACTTGGGCTTTGCGGAGGCTTATCATGTGGGGAACTGAAATTTTTGCCCGATTTGGGCTTAACCAATCCATTGGACATTTGGACCCCATTGAAAGCGGGGGAAATGTTTTGCACAATTCATTTCCTTTCCCTCAAAATCCTTAAGTTCAAAGTTTAGACTTACGTACTGTTAATTATTTTAGCTAATTATAGATTCTTAATCTTTCATTTGCTTTTATATCTGAATTATAGATTTTTTTAATAGACAGAGAGCTAAAGTTTATAATCGACCAGAAAAAAAAAAAAAGAAGAGTTTTTGCTGATTCTCGTTATATTATATACTTATCAAAATTTGCAAAATCTAAGCTTAATTCTCGTAAAGTATAATTTTCAATTCAATCTGTTTCACCCGAAAATCAGCGTGTTCGAACTTAATTACCTACAAATATATTCATGAATGGGTCCGATGAGTGATTTGAGCATGTACCATGAGGAATTCAATTGGTTCGTCTGACCAAGAACATATTATGGTGATGCCTCCGACAGGCAGCCCAAGTGAACTGGAAATGGGTCCGACGCGCACACCTAATTAATTAGTTCTACAATCAGTAACACAGAAAACCAGGTGGGCCATTAATGCAACGTGGAGTTTAATTATTGGTCACATCTCAGCAGCTTGCCTAACTGGTAAGCATTTAACCCTTCAAGTTTATAGCCTACAGAAGAATAGACAGATTACTGAACCGCCGGGCCAATGGATGGCTTAGTGGCCCTCCATCACGTGAGAAGGGCTTTAAATCTCTTCTTGAATTGTGTAGGTGAGAGTTCAAATTTCATTTAAGAATTGTGTCGTAACACTCTCTTGATCTAAACTCCACCTGCTTTGTTTGTCTGTGTCAAAAAACCATGCACGCTTTTGGTTTTTTTCCTCAACTTTCATATGAGTTTTCCCATTTTGCTATCCTGCTACTTATTTTGTGTGCGTTTAGTCTCCATTTCGTTCCTAGGGTACGTACTAAATAGTAGAGTGCTTTTTCTCTCTCTCTTTCTTTATTTTATTTAAAGAGGGTCAACAGCAGAGTGATTTCCACTCATTTGTCTTGACAATAGTAGCTGAGTGCTTATTTAGTTACAATTGGTATGATTTTAGGAGGGCGGGGAGGGGTTGTGATGGGGAAAGTACACTTCCTTTATAGCCACGGCAGACTAATGATTGGAGAAGTCATTGCAATCAAAATTTCGAAGTGATGGGAAAACAAAAAGGTCGTCTTACTGTTACTGTAGAGAAATTGAATCGTTGAATTAATTTCTAAATGGGCTTTATTTCAAGCATTACAGCTGTGACGTAGGGACCTGCATGCAGGAAACTCTCAGTCATACCAGTCATGTCTTCCTCTAGTGAGTAATTTTTTTTTTTTTGGTTGACGTATATGAATTTGAATTTTGCACTGTCAAACTTTGTTGTAATTAGCTATCTAGGTTGACCCTCGTCTTGCACTTTGCACCATACACGTACCTCTTCTCTTCTGGATCATTAGCATTTCTCAAACATCCCATAATGGCTTTTCAACGTGAGCGGGTTCCCCATGGCCGTGGGATAGTTGCTGGTGAAAAGGGTCCATCACTTGCATCCGATGTTGGCTCATTGCCTCCAACTGGTCCAGCCTCTGTTGCTGCTCATGCACATTTGGGGGCCGGGATACTCCAATCCCCAAGAAATCCACTGTCGTCACATCGCTCCCGTTTCCCCCCCGCATTCTGGTTGGCCCGGCAGCTGGACTCCTGCTCATCGAACCTCTACTCTGCATGAGGCCTGCAGGACTATCGCTATCGTCTCCACCGCCGCGGCGATCCATTCCCTTTATGAATCCCAGGTTTTGATCGCTTCCCAGTAGAATTCCGCTGTACATTCCCAAGTCGTTCATAGCTGAGGTCCCAGCAGCCGCAGCACCTCCAGAGTGATCAAACAACTGATGATGATGATGATTGGTTTCTTGTGATGGGCCCTTGTGCAAGAGGTGCGGGTTAAACCCTCCTGCATTGTGAAGCCCTGCTAACCCTGATTGGTCTGGTTGATGAGTTGCGAAGTTCTCGTACGAAGCGTTATTGCTGTTGTTAATATTATGCTGCTGCATCGAAGAGTATGCGGATGATTTGGGCCCAGCAATTTGATCGGGACCGGCCATGCTGCCGACGAAGCTCTTCTGCATCATGGGAGAATTAATGGTGTTACTGGCGGTTGCCCCCATTTGGGCTGCTTTTTGCAACAATGCGGTTGCCGACATGTGGGGCGATCCGGAAAGTTGGCTTCCGTTTTTGCCTTCTTGAAGGTAGTTGAAGCTTGAAGGCGTATTCGAACTGAGCTGAAGGCCGGAGCATGACGAGGATATGCCCTTTGGACTGCCGAAAAGAGTTCCTGAACTGCTCGAAAACATGCCACCCACCATGTTCGTGGGCTTGAACGGCATGGGCACGAGGTCCTGAGGGAGTGACTTTAGTGGGTTTTTGGGGTCAAAATTGTTGAATTCGGACAGCCCCATGGATGTGTTAGCGTTGGGGTTCATGGGCATTGACGACATGAAGTCGGGCATTTGGCCTTGCATGTTTGGTCCCATGCTGTTCATCAAGCCTTGATTCACCTTGTTGTTCTCTTCTGCCAGCGCATCGCAGAAAGCCCTGTGAGTGATGAAGCTGTCTCTCCTGCACCAAATACGTTTCTAGTGAACATTTGTCCTATCTTAGACCGCCTTTACCTATGTAAATTGTTTCAACACAAAAATTCAACCCAACCCTATGCTAATGTACTGGAATCATATACTAATTAAGACGCAGGCACTTGTATTTTCAAGGGCACGTATTAAAAAAAATAATAATAAGATTGTGAAAATTATCACCTTGAGAAGATGGTTCCACAGTCACATTTGTATTCCCTGGTGCCGCAAGTTTTTTGATGAGCCTTCCAGTCAGATTGCACTGCATATTTCTTTGAGCACTTATCGCATTTCCATTTTTTCTCGCCGTGTTTCCGGCTATAATGCTTCTTGATCCCTGTAAGATCCCCTAATGCACGAGCAGGGTTGTGGTGGACGCAGGTTGGCTCGGGACATATATAGACACGCTTCCGCACCTCAGTTGTGGTTCTTTGCTTAAGCTTCCAAGGAAGGTTATGACCTCTTCGATGCAATTGGAGGTTCTGGTCCCTCTGAAATCCCTTGTTGCAAATTTCACATACAAATCTGTTAGTCGCCATGAGCGTCGTTGGTGAGAGAGCAACGACCTCTGCAGTTGGATCTACAGGACAGAAAGAGATCAAAGTCACAAACCAAGGCCAGTCTAATTCTAATGAACGTTCTGGGGGGCCGGAATGCTTGATCTTCAGTGCTAGGACAATGTACATTAATTAACGTTTCAGTAAATCCATCAGTGTCGAAGAGACTACAGAATAGATTCATCAAATCCAAAAAGTGCGCACTGTATTGATGGCCCCTTAGCCATATAAAACAGTTAAATAGCTGAAAGAAAAGAAAGGTGCAATCATGCACAGTGTCAATCAATTATTGTCATCTCCAAGCAATTATTTGATCTGATATTTCGAACAATATTATTGATAAATTTTCTTTCTGCCATTTTCCATTTTTCTTTCTTCGAATGACTAGAATTGATTTCCGTAGAGCACTCTCCAAAGATTTAGAAACTCCAGCGCAATTAGATATTATGCATTGAATTTTGGATTGAATAAACTGATTAAAAAGACTAATGGATTATCTTTCCTCCATTTTTCACAGATTAAGACGTCCTAAATTTCTCACATCTTCTTTTGTAGTAAGTACATTATGGATCAGTATCCCTCCCGGTGTATCATACTGGAATATTAAGGCAGGACTGCACTAGTCTTTCAGCTAATTTGTTTACAATCTGAATATTTGCTATGAGAAGAAAAATATGTTTTGACTAAGGTTTGAGCTATTTTAAAGAAATTTTGATGCTTGTATGCTCGAGTGCTCAACTGGACTTTTAGCACATGTCTAACTGATTCTTGCTAGATGGCGCGAAATTGGAGCCATGGGACTGACTCTGCAGCTGTTGTGGCTGCTTATCGGCTTGATGTTCTTCTCCTGAAGAGAAACTTCCCTCATCACCTGAAAGATTTGACATCAGATAAAGGCTGTTAAGGAAGTTATAGTAGTGGTAATAGATAAAGTTTGGTTTGTCTGTCTTTTCTTTGTTTAAAGGCTTGTACTGTTTCTTTCTCTCTGTGCTAACGTTGGCCTTGGTGTAATCTAAACTGGGGCTTGTTTTTGGTGAACTTAAAATCAGGAATTTGTTCTCAGCGGAGGAAGACAAAAACCAGATAACTCTCCTCTATTTCTGGTGAAGAGTGAACTCGTGCTGGCATATGAACAACATACAAACTCGGTTTTCTTTGGCTTATACTAATATATATATATATATAGATATATATATATATATATATATATATCTATATATCTATCTATATATATATACTGATAACTGATAAGAGAAGGGAGAATGACAGGTAAAGGCCCATAACTTTAATAGTAGGAAAAACAAAATTATAAAAGTCCCAAGGCCTCCAGTCTAGACTTTAGACTCTTGACTTGAAACCCCAACCCACAAAAAAAAACAAAAAAAACCTGCTCCACCTAGTGAATTTAATTAATGATAGGGAAAATCCAGGATTGAAATTCTATCCTTTACTTTTCTCTCCATTTATTTATACATGTTTTTCTATATATACAACTACATTTTTTTTCACAATAATATGTTTGTGTCAATGATTTTATTTCCACAAGTAGATCAATCGTATTCAAAAATCGAGTTCATTTATGAATGTTTTGTCATTCAATTTGTACAATTGATAGTGCATTATGGATCAAAATTATAATAAAAGTTATCAAGTTTGATCCAAAGGTAAAATTTAATCTCTTTAATTTCAATTTTTGTATATACTTTTGAAAACTAGAGAAATATAATATGGATGGTTTTGATTTTCAAACATAATTTTATAATGGTGCTTGTTAAGGTGTGATGGAGAGAAAATCGTCTCCAATTAATAGAATGGAGACTCACCGGAAAACCCATGATCTTCTGGCTCAATAAGAATATTTGGAGTGTTTGGATACAAAATTTATCCCAAATAATATTTCGCTTGCATCATAAATACATTTTTCAACCCACCTTTTTATATTTCCAACCACTTTTTTATCTCACATACATCACATCACAAAAAGTGCTACAGTAATTATTCCAAATAATACCCTATTCCAAACAAACACATTAATATGTTCCGTACCTATAATTCAATGGTTCAATAGTCTTGGGGAATAACCCAAATACTCTTTTGCACATGAAAAAAAAAATTAAGGACGAAATTAAAAGACGAAACTATTCCAACGCACATAACTTAATTCTTGGTAAACTTCAAGTTGCTGGCTTTTCTCGGTATTTTTTATGTAAATTCATAAGATTAGTTACACCACAAATATATTCTTTTTAATAATTTTCTCATTTCACATAGACACGTACAGTATCTCAAAAAAATCCTGTTACATTTTTCTTAAACATATTTTTTAGTCACCTTTTTACTTCACATATAACACGATGTTATAGTATATTTTTCTACAAAAATTCTGTAAAAAAAAAAAAAAGCAATCCAAACGGGCAGATTGCACAAAATCAAACCCTTTTAGAGTATGTGTTGGTTAAATTTTCCGGTCTTAGAGAGATCGAGCTCATTGAGAACTTTCAACTTTCAAGCCGTTTAACTGACATACACAGTTATAAGGCCAGCGAAGAACATGAATGGTTGAAAAGGAATGGCGTAGCGTGTAGAGCAGGAATTTTGAGAGTAAATTACGATACCTTTGATGCATCCCTGCTGTCAAATAAATTAAATATCAACATTTGATGTGCACTGACGGGCCAGCAGACGTTGACATCCCAAATAATGTCAAGCAAGAAAAAAGCTTATTATCATTATCCATAGACAGGCGCCTGTGTAGTACAGTCGCGTATACTGTATGGTACAGGGAATAAAAATATAGCAGAAGCCAGCAGGGATGGTGGGTTCTTTGTGGGTCTCCTAAAATTGCTTTCGAATTTTTTTTCGGTAAACTTTTGTGTTTGTTTTAATTGAGTGTGTGTGTTATTTTCAGTTGGTGAAAAAAACAGCAGGGGAGAAAACCACTAGCCTGTGACCTGATCGTCACCACCAAAGCATTAAAATTTGATACATATTAAGTGGCTTTGCTTAAAAAATTGCATTATTCTAATTTGGTGGTGGTTCAGTTCACTCCAAGTTATCCTTGGACCCCTTCAGGTTCGTCCCTTCCTTTTAGTGTAGAATAGAATAGGTTTATGGTCAGCGTAAAAAAAAAAAAAGGGAGAAATACCACCGTCTCTTACTCTGTTTATTACCCACAATTTGCGTCGTGGTGATACTTGGCTGTAACAACAAAACAATTCATTTTGTGATTTTTTTTCTTTGCTTGGTCCAAATGTCTGACGTTTAATACTTCTGCTTCTGGAATTCAAGCATTCTCCACCAGGTCCGAGGGGAATTAAATGAGTTGTACTTGGCCTAGCACCATTCATTAATTGGCGTTGTCTGGATGTTTGGGCGTCCCATGTTCTTGCATGAGCGGCCGCTAAAAGCAAATGCAAAGGTACCAAACAGTCCCGTTAATATTTTTAACCCTTAAAACTGAAGGTGTCCTAATGCAATCCAAACGATCGAACTCTCCAAACTAGTAATTCTTAGTGCAGAATTGTTTCTTTCAATAAATGACACAATGCAAAATTCTTACCAAAAATTGATGAGCAATTTCTGAGAAAGAAAGAAAAAAAAAGAAGAAGCTTTTTGCGGTTCTGAGCATTTCTTAAAAATCGCTGGCGCAACTCTGCTATATTTGTTGTCATTGATGAGGCAAAGTTTTGGATTATGGCCGCAATTTCAGTCCTACGTTACGTGACAACGGGCAACCAAAGAACAAAAATTAATGCTCATTCTTTTTCTTTTCGGTGAGGGGAGACAAATTTGAACTTTATACTACGTACTTTGAGAAAACTTTTTCAGATTCCATGATCCTAAAAATTTTTCACTGAGGAGCCCAATTTTTATCAATGACACACACACATGCACACATTCCGGTATTTGTTTCATTTATATGCATATAGGAATAGATTGGAATAGGGGTGAAATCGAGCCGAATTGAGCTCGAGTAGTGACATACTCGAGCTCGAACTCGATGCTGACCTCCAGAGCTCGAGAAATAAAAATCGAACTCGACTCGATAGTAGCATAAATAGGCTCGAATTCGACTCGATTGAGCTCGGCGTGTCATTCGAGCTCGAGTACTCGAGTCCTCGAGCTCGATTTCATCCTGCACCCTTAACACGAGCTCAATATTGAGTCGAGTACTCGACTCAAGCTCGATTTGATCATGCACCCTACTCGAGCTACTCGACGAGCTAAAAATACCTCATCCTAACTACTCGAGATCGACTCGTTTCATATACTCGAGCTACTTGAGCTCGACTCTAGATCGAACAAAATCGGTCTCGAATCGAGTAGCTAATCAAGTTACTCGCGAGCTCAATTCAAGCTACTCGATTGGTGTGCACCCCTAGATTGGAACCATGATCGGCCATATATCTTCAATGGGCAGAAGGATCACAAAATTACAAAAGAACCAGTCCGGCTAAATCTCAATAAACAAACAAGAAGACAGGAGTGGGAATATCAAACCGCATGTTGCCCTCTAAATTTCTAGTCAAAAAGGATTTTTCTTTCTGAAGCCACGGGCCAAAATTTAAAAGCTGGCTGTGAGAAGAAACAGAAAGCTGCACCTGGGTTTTATCGAGGGATTTCGATGCGTTTAATTAATGCAACAAAGTTGATAAACAAAGCCCTGCATCCATCATCCATGTAATGACAGGCAGACCAGAACACGATGATGCTCTTTGCAGCCAAAACAACAGAGGATGGGACAAGCAATTGGATGATGAGGACGGACCTCTGCTCTCACTTTTTCTTGATTTTCTGCAGCTCTATCTAACAAACAAGTCGGTCCATTTGCTAATAAATAAATAAAAATAATAATGTGGACGTGACCCGAGGCATGAGATGAAACCAACAAAAAACGGACGGCCAGTTTTTCAACATTTTTATATCGTGCCTTCGAGGAAATGATATTCGATTTAGGGAAAAAAAATTAAAATACTGATCGATCTAAGGACCCACCCCTTTCCTCAAGATATATATGCTTCCAATTAGTAGTATATTATGAATAAAAATAATAATAGATTTTTGTTCAGCGACAGGAGCATGCACCAGGTATCAACGTTGTTCACCGGCTTAAACATCCCCCCAATTAGGTTGCGTACGCCGGGAGACTTCACTGCCACTGTGCCTCAACTAAAGTGCGCGCTTGATGAAAGTAAAGTTTAAAATTTAAATTTAAAATTTGAGATTTAAATTTATTAAATACTAAATTTAATGCATTCGAGTGCACGTCACATTCAACGATAAGTGAATAACTTATCACTTAAATTTGGAGAGCAAGTTTTGCCTAAAAAATTCAGTGTCACTTAATTAATTCAGAGGTTCAATTTTTTTGTTATCAAACGGTCCGAATATATTAAGATCCAAATCTATTAAATTTAAGTGCTAAATTTGGTTATTAAACAGGGCCTGAGTATGTTATGTTATCTAATTAAATGGCCCAAGAAAAATATTAATCATTTGGGGGCAAACATTTCTTTAAAAATAAAAATTTCTTTAACGTGGTCTCAGACCATTCAAGGTACATTTTCGCTCAACATATTAAAAGTTCACCAATCCCACTAATAATTTATTCAAACTCTCTCCTCTAATTCCAATTTCAGGCTTACTTTTGATGGTAATAACTAGTGAGATTTAGACTTAATATTTTGACGATTAGTTTCAAGTTTTGGCTCTTTGGGCCAAGTGAAGGAAGAATGCAAGAAAACTGGGGGACGGGGGACGGATAAGGTG